GGATCTTCCCAAGCCAGGTATCAAACCCACATCTCCTTCATCCCCTGCATTGGCAGACAGGTTCTTTACTGCTAGCACCACCTGGGAAGCCCATTCTGGCTCTACATCTCCTTAATTTATAACTAAACTCTGTTCTAGGCAACGCAGTTTCCCGCACTGTGATCCAACACCACACACACGCACAGAGACAGAGAGAGGGAGACACAGCGACTGAGGGACAGAAAATGGGAGGCAGACACGGGCGAGAGGATGGCATCCGATCCGAGACAGACACAGTGGCACAGTCCCTGACCCACCTCAGAGAGAGGCCAGGCGGAAGAAGCAGCTTCCCCAAGGGAGGGGGCGTCAGCCTTGGGCCCGGGCCCCAGCTGGACGCGGCGCCCTGGGGCTGGCAGAGCCCCGTGGGGTCCCCAAGACCGTCTTGGCAGCCGAGGTCTCAAAGGTCCGGGGGGATACCCAGAATGGAGGGCCGAGGGTGTGGAGGCCGTGGGTTGGGAAGCCTGTGTGGTCCTCTTGCTGTTTCTCTCTCCCTCCTTCTCCATCTCCCTCCCCTGTGGTTTCTGGCTCCTGACCTGTCTCGGCGGCGGGGTGGGTGTGTGGGTGTGTGTCTGTGTGTGTGAGCCCGCGGGAGAGCACGCGCTGTCGCGTGAGAGGATGGCACTAGGGTTGCGGGTGGGGCTGGGGCGTGGGGCAGCCCCAGACGGAGACCGGAAGGTCATCTGGTTCTTTGGAAGCCGAAAGCGGAGGGGCTCTCGGGCCGCGCGGAGGCAGCCCAGGTCTGCGGCGGGCGGGCGTTTGCGTGTCCCTCCCGCCCCATCCCCAACCCCACCCCCCACCCCCGCCCCGGGGGCCCTGGGGCCGCGGGGATCCAAGGGTTGGGACGCCTCTGCCGCCTGCGAGGGCCGCGGGCTGGAAGGCAGGCGACCGAAGGCTGTGAGCTCGGTGGGGTGAGAGGGGCCAGGGGCAGGTGGCGCTTGTGGTGCAGGCCACGCCGGGGGTGGGGGTAGGGGTGAGGGTGGGGAGGGGGCGGGGGCTAAAGGAGAGGGGAGGCAAAAAGCCTACAGCACCCGGTATTCCCAGGCGGTCTCCCATCCAAGTACTAACCAGGCCCGACCCTGCTTAGCTTCCGAGATCAGACGAGATCGGGCGCGTTCAGGGTGGTATGGCCGTAGACGGAGGCGGCTGCCTCCAGGCGCCCTAAGAGCCCTGCGCCGCGCCTCCCTTTCGCTGTCACCTGCCTGCCGGTCCGGCCAGCCGGCCGCACCTCTCCACGGCCCGCGCGCTCTACCTGAGCCGGACGACCCGCGACCGGACTCCGGCCGGCCGACGCCGCCCCGGCCCCGCACACCATCACCCCCTGCCAGCACCCGCCTCGCCTGGCCCTCCGGCTCCCGGGACCCCCCAGGGCCAGGTTGCCCCGGAGGTCTCTGGCTTCCGGGCCCGCCGCTGCCCGCCGCCCGCGGGCCTCTGAGCCACCTGCGGGCCTCTGAGCCTCCTCTGGGCCTCCTGCGCAGCCCAGCCGGGGCCCTGAGCGCCCATCCTGCCCGGGCACCTGCCCGGTGCCCAAACCCAGCGGGAGCCAGCAGCGCGGTCGACGGGAGCGCGTCAGCCCCGCCCCTTCGCCCTATCGAGGCCCCACTTGCCCCCACGCCGCCCGCCCAGCACAGGACCTTCCTGAGAGAGCAGACGGGCGACAGGCAGGCACACGGACAGACACACAGACACTCGCACGCACCCACGCCAAGTCAGACAAGCCGGCCGGCGCAAGCTCGTCAGCCAGAGCCAGAGCCCCAGCAACCTGTGAGAGGCCGGGGCCAGAGGAAGGGACGGGAGGCCGGGTGTCGGGAGACACAGAGGCAGAAACAGACGGAGGTTCAGAGACACACTCGAAGAAGACGGCGAGAGGGAGATGCAGGTGGACAGACAGACGGGCGTGCGCGCGCAGACACACACACACACACACACACACACACACACACACACAGAGAGGGAGACACAGCGACTGACGGACAGAAAACGGGAGGCGGACACGGGACAGAGGATGGCATCCGATCCGAGACAGACACAGTGGCACAGTCCCTGACCCACCTCAGAGAGAGGCCAGGCGGAAGAAGCAGCTTCCCCAAGGGAGGGGGCGTCAGCCTTGGGCCCGGGCCCCAGCTGGACGCGGCGCCCTGGGGCTGGCAGAGCCCCGTGGGGTCCCCAAGACCGTCTTGGCAGCCGAGGTCTCAAAGGTCCCCTTCGGCTTGGCTACCTAAGGCAAGACCCAGCCCCCGCCCAAAGGCCAGAGGGTGAGTGTGTGATAGTGTGTGTGTGTGTGTGTGTGTGTGTGTGAGTGTGTCAGTGGGCAAGGGTGTGGGCGGGCCGACTGGGGTCCGGGGGGGATACCCAGAATGGAGCGGGAAGGGTTTGGAGCTGGGGGGTTGCATATCATGTGGGGTCCAAGCATACCGGACGGTCATCTCGTCTCGTGCAATCCGAATGCGGACTGGCCCTCCGGCCTCTTGGAGGCAACCCAGGTCTGCGTTGGGAGTCGGGGCCCCGGTCATCCTCCCGCAGAGGGGCTGTGGCCGTGGCGATCCAAAAGCGGGCACGCTGCTACCCGCCATGCCCGCTGACTGGCTGGCCAAAGGCCCTGTTGGCTGGAAGATAGGCTACGGCTTGAGGGCGTTCGGGTCATATCTGTTTTTATTCCAATGGTGTGCCTCATCCTAATGTTACTTGGTTGATGATAGGAGAATCTCTGAGTGACAATAGTTCCTTGCTTTTCAATGGATCCCTTTTGTTGCAGAACCTTTCCCTTGAAAGGGAAGGAACCTATGTCTGCACAGGCACTAATGCTCTTGGAAAGGCAATAGCAATTCCGTCCTCCACTAGCTTGGTAAGCACCAAGTCCTTGTTGTCTTCAAGTGCTTCCTATAATACGTGCAAAGTAGGACCCGGTTTTGTGGATTCTGGAGTCAAGGAGTTAACAAGTGGACGTTATATGGTTTTAACCATTGCTGTCACTGCCCACTTACAAACTGCCTCGAAATTTAACCCTCTGCCTTACCTGCTCGTCTCTCAGAAGGCTGTGACTGCCTTGCTGCTGCTTCTCTGCCTAAGAACCCACAATGAGATATTAACTTGCTGCCCAGAATCAAGATCCTTCATACTCTGCCTCTGTGTGCATGCTTGTGTGCCACGTTGCTTCGGTCCTGTCTGACTGTTTGTGACCCCATGGGCTGTAGCCCGCCAGGCTCCTCTTACTGTAGGATCCTCCAGGCAAGCATACTGAAGTAGGTTGTCATGTCGTCCTCCAGGGGATCTTCCCAAGCCAGGTATCAAACCCACATCTCCTTCATCCCCTGCATTGGCAGACAGGTTCTTTACTGCTAGCACCACCTGGGAAGCCCATTCTGGCTCTACATCTCCTTAATTTATAACTAAACTCTGTTCTAGGCAACGCAGTTTCCCGCACTGTGATCCAACACCACACACACGCACAGAGACAGAGAGAGGGAGACACAGCGACTGAGGGACAGAAAATGGGAGGCAGACACGGGCGAGAGGATGGCATCCGATCCGAGACAGACACAGTGGCACAGTCCCTGACCCACCTCAGAGAGAGGCCAGGCGGAAGAAGCAGCTTCCCCAAGGGAGGGGGCGTCAGCCTTGGGCCCGGGCCCCAGCTGGACGCGGCGCCCTGGGGCTGGCAGAGCCCCGTGGGGTCCCCAAGACCGTCTTGGCAGCCGAGGTCTCAAAGGTCCGGGGGGATACCCAGAATGGAGGGCCGAGGGTGTGGAGGCCGTGGGTTGGGAAGCCTGTGTGGTCCTCTTGCTGTTTCTCTCTCCCTCCTTCTCCATCTCCCTCCCCTGTGGTTTCTGGCTCCTGACCTGTCTCGGCGGCGGGGTGGGTGTGTGGGTGTGTGTCTGTGTGTGTGAGCCCGCGGGAGAGCACGCGCTGTCGCGTGAGAGGATGGCACTAGGGTTGCGGGTGGGGCTGGGGCGTGGGGCAGCCCCAGACGGAGACCGGAAGGTCATCTGGTTCTTTGGAAGCCGAAAGCGGAGGGGCTCTCGGGCCGCGCGGAGGCAGCCCAGGTCTGCGGCGGGCGGGCGTTTGCGTGTCCCTCCCGCCCCATCCCCAACCCCACCCCCCACCCCCGCCCCGGGGGCCCTGGGGCCGCGGGGATCCAAGGGTTGGGACGCCTCTGCCGCCTGCGAGGGCCGCGGGCTGGAAGGCAGGCGACCGAAGGCTGTGAGCTCGGTGGGGTGAGAGGGGCCAGGGGCAGGTGGCGCTTGTGGTGCAGGCCACGCCGGGGGTGGGGGTAGGGGTGAGGGTGGGGAGGGGGCGGGGGCTAAAGGAGAGGGGAGGCAAAAAGCCTACAGCACCCGGTATTCCCAGGCGGTCTCCCATCCAAGTACTAACCAGGCCCGACCCTGCTTAGCTTCCGAGATCAGACGAGATCGGGCGCGTTCAGGGTGGTATGGCCGTAGACGGAGGCGGCTGCCTCCAGGCGCCCTAAGAGCCCTGCGCCGCGCCTCCCTTTCGCTGTCACCTGCCTGCCGGTCCGGCCAGCCGGCCGCACCTCTCCACGGCCCGCGCGCTCTACCTGAGCCGGACGACCCGCGACCGGACTCCGGCCGGCCGACGCCGCCCCGGCCCCGCACACCATCACCCCCTGCCAGCACCCGCCTCGCCTGGCCCTCCGGCTCCCGGGACCCCCCAGGGCCAGGTTGCCCCGGAGGTCTCTGGCTTCCGGGCCCGCCGCTGCCCGCCGCCCGCGGGCCTCTGAGCCACCTGCGGGCCTCTGAGCCTCCTCTGGGCCTCCTGCGCAGCCCAGCCGGGGCCCTGAGCGCCCATCCTGCCCGGGCACCTGCCCGGTGCCCAAACCCAGCGGGAGCCAGCAGCGCGGTCGACGGGAGCGCGTCAGCCCCGCCCCTTCGCCCTATCGAGGCCCCACTTGCCCCCACGCCGCCCGCCCAGCACAGGACCTTCCTGAGAGAGCAGACGGGCGACAGGCAGGCACACGGACAGACACACAGACACTCGCACGCACCCACGCCAAGTCAGACAAGCCGGCCGGCGCAAGCTCGTCAGCCAGAGCCAGAGCCCCAGCAACCTGTGAGAGGCCGGGGCCAGAGGAAGGGACGGGAGGCCGGGTGTCGGGAGACACAGAGGCAGAAACAGACGGAGGTTCAGAGACACACTCGAAGAAGACGGCGAGAGGGAGATGCAGGTGGACAGACAGACGGGCGTGCGCGCGCAGACACACACACACACACACACACACACACACACACACACACAGAGGGAGACACAGCGACTGACGGACAGAAAACGGGAGGCGGACACGGGACAGAGGATGGCATCCGATCCGAGACAGACACAGTGGCACAGTCCCTGACCCACCTCAGAGAGAGGCCAGGCGGAAGAAGCAGCTTCCCCAAGGGAGGGGGCGTCAGCCTTGGGCCCGGGCCCCAGCTGGACGCGGCGCCCTGGGGCTGGCAGAGCCCCGTGGGGTCCCCAAGACCGTCTTGGCAGCCGAGGTCTCAAAGGTCCCCTTCGGCTTGGCTACCTAAGGCAAGACCCAGCCCCCGCCCAAAGGCCAGAGGGTGAGTGTGTGATAGTGTGTGTGTGTGTGTGTGTGTGTGTGTGAGTGTGTCAGTGGGCAAGGGTGTGGGCGGGCCGACTGGGGTCCGGGGGGGATACCCAGAATGGAGCGGGAAGGGTTTGGAGCTGGGGGGTTGCATATCATGTGGGGTCCAAGCATACCGGACGGTCATCTCGTCTCGTGCAATCCGAATGCGGACTGGCCCTCCGGCCTCTTGGAGGCAACCCAGGTCTGCGTTGGGAGTCGGGGCCCCGGTCATCCTCCCGCAGAGGGGCTGTGGCCGTGGCGATCCAAAAGCGGGCACGCTGCTACCCGCCATGCCCGCTGACTGGCTGGCCAAAGGCCCTGTTGGCTGGAAGATAGGCTACGGCTTGAGGGCGTTCGGGTCATATCTGTTTTTATTCCAATGGTGTGCCTCATCCTAATGTTACTTGGTTGATGATAGGAGAATCTCTGAGTGACAATAGTTCCTTGCTTTTCAATGGATCCCTTTTGTTGCAGAACCTTTCCCTTGAAAGGGAAGGAACCTATGTCTGCACAGGCACTAATGCTCTTGGAAAGGCAATAGCAATTCCGTCCTCCACTAGCTTGGTAAGCACCAAGTCCTTGTTGTCTTCAAGTGCTTCCTATAATACGTGCAAAGTAGGACCCGGTTTTGTGGATTCTGGAGTCAAGGAGTTAACAAGTGGACGTTATATGGTTTTAACCATTGCTGTCACTGCCCACTTACAAACTGCCTCGAAATTTAACCCTCTGCCTTACCTGCTCGTCTCTCAGAAGGCTGTGACTGCCTTGCTGCTGCTTCTCTGCCTAAGAACCCACAATGAGATATTAACTTGCTGCCCAGAATCAAGATCCTTCATACTCTGCCTCTGTGTGCATGCTTGTGTGCCACGTTGCTTCGGTCCTGTCTGACTGTTTGTGACCCCATGGGCTGTAGCCCGCCAGGCTCCTCTTACTGTAGGATCCTCCAGGCAAGCATACTGAAGTAGGTTGTCATGTCGTCCTCCAGGGGATCTTCCCAAGCCAGGTATCAAACCCACATCTCCTTCATCCCCTGCATTGGCAGACAGGTTCTTTACTGCTAGCACCACCTGGGAAGCCCATTCTGGCTCTACATCTCCTTAATTTATAACTAAACTCTGTTCTAGGCAACGCAGTTTCCCGCACTGTGATCCAACACCACACACACGCACAGAGACAGAGAGAGGGAGACACAGCGACTGAGGGACAGAAAATGGGAGGCAGACACGGGCGAGAGGATGGCATCCGATCCGAGACAGACACAGTGGCACAGTCCCTGACCCACCTCAGAGAGAGGCCAGGCGGAAGAAGCAGCTTCCCCAAGGGAGGGGGCGTCAGCCTTGGGCCCGGGCCCCAGCTGGACGCGGCGCCCTGGGGCTGGCAGAGCCCCGTGGGGTCCCCAAGACCGTCTTGGCAGCCGAGGTCTCAAAGGTCCGGGGGGATACCCAGAATGGAGGGCCGAGGGTGTGGAGGCCGTGGGTTGGGAAGCCTGTGTGGTCCTCTTGCTGTTTCTCTCTCCCTCCTTCTCCATCTCCCTCCCCTGTGGTTTCTGGCTCCTGACCTGTCTCGGCGGCGGGGTGGGTGTGTGGGTGTGTGTCTGTGTGTGTGAGCCCGCGGGAGAGCACGCGCTGTCGCGTGAGAGGATGGCACTAGGGTTGCGGGTGGGGCTGGGGCGTGGGGCAGCCCCAGACGGAGACCGGAAGGTCATCTGGTTCTTTGGAAGCCGAAAGCGGAGGGGCTCTCGGGCCGCGCGGAGGCAGCCCAGGTCTGCGGCGGGCGGGCGTTTGCGTGTCCCTCCCGCCCCATCCCCAACCCCACCCCCCACCCCCGCCCCGGGGGCCCTGGGGCCGCGGGGATCCAAGGGTTGGGACGCCTCTGCCGCCTGCGAGGGCCGCGGGCTGGAAGGCAGGCGACCGAAGGCTGTGAGCTCGGTGGGGTGAGAGGGGCCAGGGGCAGGTGGCGCTTGTGGTGCAGGCCACGCCGGGGGTGGGGGTAGGGGTGAGGGTGGGGAGGGGGCGGGGGCTAAAGGAGAGGGGAGGCAAAAAGCCTACAGCACCCGGTATTCCCAGGCGGTCTCCCATCCAAGTACTAACCAGGCCCGACCCTGCTTAGCTTCCGAGATCAGACGAGATCGGGCGCGTTCAGGGTGGTATGGCCGTAGACGGAGGCGGCTGCCTCCAGGCGCCCTAAGAGCCCTGCGCCGCGCCTCCCTTTCGCTGTCACCTGCCTGCCGGTCCGGCCAGCCGGCCGCACCTCTCCACGGCCCGCGCGCTCTACCTGAGCCGGACGACCCGCGACCGGACTCCGGCCGGCCGACGCCGCCCCGGCCCCGCACACCATCACCCCCTGCCAGCACCCGCCTCGCCTGGCCCTCCGGCTCCCGGGACCCCCCAGGGCCAGGTTGCCCCGGAGGTCTCTGGCTTCCGGGCCCGCCGCTGCCCGCCGCCCGCGGGCCTCTGAGCCACCTGCGGGCCTCTGAGCCTCCTCTGGGCCTCCTGCGCAGCCCAGCCGGGGCCCTGAGCGCCCATCCTGCCCGGGCACCTGCCCGGTGCCCAAACCCAGCGGGAGCCAGCAGCGCGGTCGACGGGAGCGCGTCAGCCCCGCCCCTTCGCCCTATCGAGGCCCCACTTGCCCCCACGCCGCCCGCCCAGCACAGGACCTTCCTGAGAGAGCAGACGGGCGACAGGCAGGCACACGGACAGACACACAGACACTCGCACGCACCCACGCCAAGTCAGACAAGCCGGCCGGCGCAAGCTCGTCAGCCAGAGCCAGAGCCCCAGCAACCTGTGAGAGGCCGGGGCCAGAGGAAGGGACGGGAGGCCGGGTGTCGGGAGACACAGAGGCAGAAACAGACGGAGGTTCAGAGACACACTCGAAGAAGACGGCGAGAGGGAGATGCAGGTGGACAGACAGACGGGCGTGCGCGCGCAGACACACACACACACACACACACACACACACACACACACACAGAGAGGGAGACACAGCGACTGACGGACAGAAAACGGGAGGCGGACACGGGACAGAGGATGGCATCCGATCCGAGACAGACACAGTGGCACAGTCCCTGACCCACCTCAGAGAGAGGCCAGGCGGAAGAAGCAGCTTCCCCAAGGGAGGGGGCGTCAGCCTTGGGCCCGGGCCCCAGCTGGACGCGGCGCCCTGGGGCTGGCAGAGCCCCGTGGGGTCCCCAAGACCGTCTTGGCAGCCGAGGTCTCAAAGGTCCCCTTCGGCTTGGCTACCTAAGGCAAGACCCAGCCCCCGCCCAAAGGCCAGAGGGTGAGTGTGTGATAGTGTGTGTGTGTGTGTGTGTGTGTGTGTGTGTGTGAGTGTGTCAGTGGGCAAGGGTGTGGGCGGGCCGACTGGGGTCCGGGGGGGATACCCAGAATGGAGCGGGAAGGGTGTGGAGCTGGGGGGTTGCATATCATGTGGGGTCCAAGCATACCGGACGGTCATCTCGTCTCGTGCAATCCGAATGCGGACTGGCCCTCCGGCCTCTTGGAGGCAACCCAGGTCTGCGTTGGGAGTCGGGGCCCCGGTCATCCTCCCGCAGAGGGGCTGTGGCCGTGGCGATCCAAAAGCGGGCACGCTGCTACCCGCCATGCCCGCTGACTGGCTGGCCAAAGGCCCTGTTGGCTGGAAGATAGGCTATGGCTTGAGGGCGTTCGGGTCATATCTGTTTTTATTCCAATGGTGTGCCTCATCCTAATGTTACTTGGTTGATGATAGGAGAATCTCTGAGTGACAATAGTTCCTTGCTTTTCAATGGATCCCTTTTGTTGCAGAACCTTTCCCTTGAAAGGGAAGGAACCTATGTCTGCACAGGCACTAATGCTCTTGGAAAGGCAATAGCAATTCCGTCCTCCACTAGCTTGGTAAGCACCAAGTCCTTGTTGTCTTCAAGTGCTTCCTATAATATGTGCAAAGTAGGACCCGGTTTTGTGGATTCTGGAGTCAAGGAGTTAACAAGTGGACGTTATATGGTTTTAACCATTGCTGTCACTGCCCACTTACAAACTGCCTCGAAATTTAACCCTCTGCCTTACCTGCTCGTCTCTCAGAAGGCTGTGACTGCCTTGCTGCTGCTTCTCTGCCTAAGAACCCACAATGAGATATTAACTTGCTGCCCAGAATCAAGATGCTTCATACTCTGCCTCTGTGTGCATGCTTGTGTGCCACGTTGCTTCGGTCCTGTCTGACTGTTTGTGACCCCATGGGCTGTAGCCCGCCAGGCTCCTCTTACTGTAGGATCCTCCAGGCAAGCATACTGAAGTAGGTTGTCATGTCGTCCTCCAGGGGATCTTCCCAAGCCAGGTATCAAACCCACATCTCCTTCATCCCCTGCATTGGCAGACAGGTTCTTTACTGCTAGCACCACCTGGGAAGCCCATTCTGGCTCTACATCTCCTTAATTTATAACTAAACTCTGTTCTAGGCAACGCAGTTTCCCGCACTGTGATCCAACACCACACACACGCACAGAGACAGAGAGAGGGAGACACAGCGACTGAGGGACAGAAAATGGGAGGCAGACACGGGCGAGAGGATGGCATCCGATCCGAGACAGACACAGTGGCACAGTCCCTGACCCACCTCAGAGAGAGGCCAGGCGGAAGAAGCAGCTTCCCCAAGGGAGGGGGCGTCAGCCTTGGGCCCGGGCCCCAGCTGGACGCGGCGCCCTGGGGCTGGCAGAGCCCCGTGGGGTCCCCAAGACCGTCTTGGCAGCCGAGGTCTCAAAGGTCCGGGGGGATACCCAGAATGGAGGGCCGAGGGTGTGGAGGCCGTGGGTTGGGAAGCCTGTGTGGTCCTCTTGCTGTTTCTCTCTCCCTCCTTCTCCATCTCCCTCCCCTGTGGTTTCTGGCTCCTGACCTGTCTCGGCGGCGGGGTGGGTGTGTGGGTGTGTGTCTGTGTGTGTGAGCCCGCGGGAGAGCACGCGCTGTCGCGTGAGAGGATGGCACTAGGGTTGCGGGTGGGGCTGGGGCGTGGGGCAGCCCCAGACGGAGACCGGAAGGTCATCTGGTTCTTTGGAAGCCGAAAGCGGAGGGGCTCTCGGGCCGCGCGGAGGCAGCCCAGGTCTGCGGCGGGCGGGCGTTTGCGTGTCCCTCCCGCCCCATCCCCAACCCCACCCCCCACCCCCGCCCCGGGGGCCCTGGGGCCGCGGGGATCCAAGGGTTGGGACGCCTCTGCCGCCTGCGAGGGCCGCGGGCTGGAAGGCAGGCGACCGAAGGCTGTGAGCTCGGTGGGGTGAGAGGGGCCAGGGGCAGGTGGCGCTTGTGGTGCAGGCCACGCCGGGGGTGGGGGTAGGGGTGAGGGTGGGGAGGGGGCGGGGGCTAAAGGAGAGGGGAGGCAAAAAGCCTACAGCACCCGGTATTCCCAGGCGGTCTCCCATCCAAGTACTAACCAGGCCCGACCCTGCTTAGCTTCCGAGATCAGACGAGATCGGGCGCGTTCAGGGTGGTATGGCCGTAGACGGAGGCGGCTGCCTCCAGGCGCCCTAAGAGCCCTGCGCCGCGCCTCCCTTTCGCTGTCACCTGCCTGCCGGTCCGGCCAGCCGGCCGCACCTCTCCACGGCCCGCGCGCTCTACCTGAGCCGGACGACCCGCGACCGGACTCCGGCCGGCCGACGCCGCCCCGGCCCCGCACACCATCACCCCCTGCCAGCACCCGCCTCGCCTGGCCCTCCGGCTCCCGGGACCCCCCAGGGCCAGGTTGCCCCGGAGGTCTCTGGCTTCCGGGCCCGCCGCTGCCCGCCGCCCGCGGGCCTCTGAGCCACCTGCGGGCCTCTGAGCCTCCTCTGGGCCTCCTGCGCAGCCCAGCCGGGGCCCTGAGCGCCCATCCTGCCCGGGCACCTGCCCGGTGCCCAAACCCAGCGGGAGCCAGCAGCGCGGTCGACGGGAGCGCGTCAGCCCCGCCCCTTCGCCCTATCGAGGCCCCACTTGCCCCCACGCCGCCCGCCCAGCACAGGACCTTCCTGAGAGAGCAGACGGGCGACAGGCAGGCACACGGACAGACACACAGACACTCGCACGCACCCACGCCAAGTCAGACAAGCCGGCCGGCGCAAGCTCGTCAGCCAGAGCCAGAGCCCCAGCAACCTGTGAGAGGCCGGGGCCAGAGGAAGGGACGGGAGGCCGGGTGTCGGGAGACACAGAGGCAGAAACAGACGGAGGTTCAGAGACACACTCGAAGAAGACGGCGAGAGGGAGATGCAGGTGGACAGACAGACGGGCGTGCGCGCGCAGACACACACACACACACACACACACACACACACACACACAGAGGGAGACACAGCGACTGACGGACAGAAAACGGGAGGCGGACACGGGACAGAGGATGGCATCCGATCCGAGACAGACACAGTGGCACAGTCCCTGACCCACCTCAGAGAGAGGCCAGGCGGAAGAAGCAGCTTCCCCAAGGGAGGGGGCGTCAGCCTTGGGCCCGGGCCCCAGCTGGACGCGGCGCCCTGGGGCTGGCAGAGCCCCGTGGGGTCCCCAAGACCGTCTTGGCAGCCGAGGTCTCAAAGGTCCCCTTCGGCTTGGCTACCTAAGGCAAGACCCAGCCCCCGCCCAAAGGCCAGAGGGTGAGTGTGTGATAGTGTGTGTGTGTGTGTGTGTGTGTGTGTGTGTGTGAGTGTGTCAGTGGGCAAGGGTGTGGGCGGGCCGACTGGGGTCCGGGGGGGATACCCAGAATGGAGCGGGAAGGGTGTGGAGCTGGGGGGTTGCATATCATGTGGGGTCCAAGCATACCGGACGGTCATCTCGTCTCGTGCAATCCGAATGCGGACTGGCCCTCCGGCCTCTTGGAGGCAACCCAGGTCTGCGTTGGGAGTCGGGGCCCCGGTCATCCTCCCGCAGAGGGGCTGTGGCCGTGGCGATCCAAAAGCGGGCACGCTGCTACCCGCCATGCCCGCTGACTGGCTGGCCAAAGGCCCTGTTGGCTGGAAGATAGGCTACGGCTTGAGGGCGTTCGGGTCATATCTGTTTTTATTCCAATGGTGTGCCTCATCCTAATGTTACTTGGTTGATGATAGGAGAATCTCTGAGTGACAATAGTTCCTTGCTTTTCAATGGATCCCTTTTGTTGCAGAACCTTTCCCTTGAAAGGGAAGGAACCTATGTCTGCACAGGCACTAATGCTCTTGGAAAGGCAATAGCAATTCCGTCCTCCACTAGCTTGGTAAGCACCAAGTCCTTGTTGTCTTCAAGTGCTTCCTATAATATGTGCAAAGTAGGACCCGGTTTTGTGGATTCTGGAGTCAAGGAGTTAACAAGTGGACGTTATATGGTTTTAACCATTGCTGTCACTGCCCACTTACAAACTGCCTCGAAATTTAACCCTCTGCCTTACCTGCTCGTCTCTCAGAAGGCTGTGACTGCCTTGCTGCTGCTTCTCTGCCTAAGAACCCACAATGAGATATTAACTTGCTGCCCAGAATCAAGATGCTTCATACTCTGCCTCTGTGTGCATGCTTGTGTGCCACGTTGCTTCGGTCCTGTCTGACTGTTTGTGACCCCATGGGCTGTAGCCCGCCAGGCTCCTCTTACTGTAGGATCCTCCAGGCAAGCATACTGAAGTAGGTTGTCATGTCGTCCTCCAGGGGATCTTCCCAAGCCAGGTATCAAACCCACATCTCCTTCATCCCCTGCATTGGCAGACAGGTTCTTTACTGCTAGCACCACCTGGGAAGCCCATTCTGGCTCTACATCTCCTTAATTTATAACTAAACTCTGTTCTAGGCAACGCAGTTTCCCGCACTGTGATCCAACACCACACACACGCACAGAGACAGAGAGAGGGAGACACAGCGACTGAGGGACAGAAAATGGGAGGCAGACACGGGCGAGAGGATGGCATCCGATCCGAGACAGACACAGTGGCACAGTCCCTGACCCACCTCAGAGAGAGGCCAGGCGGAAGAAGCAGCTTCCCCAAGGGAGGGGGCGTCAGCCTTGGGCCCGGGCCCCAGCTGGACGCGGCGCCCTGGGGCTGGCAGAGCCCCGTGGGGTCCCCAAGACCGTCTTGGCAGCCGAGGTCTCAAAGGTCCGGGGGGATACCCAGAATGGAGGGCCGAGGGTGTGGAGGCCGTGGGTTGGGAAGCCTGTGTGGTCCTCTTGCTGTTTCTCTCTCCCTCCTTCTCCATCTCCCTCCCCTGTGGTTTCTGGCTCCTGACCTGTCTCGGCGGCGGGGTGGGTGTGTGGGTGTGTGTCTGTGTGTGTGAGCCCGCGGGAGAGCACGCGCTGTCGCGTGAGAGGATGGCACTAGGGTTGCGGGTGGGGCTGGGGCGTGGGGCAGCCCCAGACGGAGACCGGAAGGTCATCTGGTTCTTTGGAAGCCGAAAGCGGAGGGGCTCTCGGGCCGCGCGGAGGCAGCCCAGGTCTGCGGCGGGCGGGCGTTTGCGTGTCCCTCCCGCCCCATCCCCAACCCCACCCCCCACCCCCGCCCCGGGGGCCCTGGGGCCGCGGGGATCCAAGGGTTGGGACGCCTCTGCCGCCTGCGAGGGCCGCGGGCTGGAAGGCAGGCGACCGAAGGCTGTGAGCTCGGTGGGGTGAGAGGGGCCAGGGGCAGGTGGCGCTTGTGGTGCAGGCCACGCCGGGGGTGGGGGTAGGGGTGAGGGTGGGGAGGGGGCGGGGGCTAAAGGAGAGGGGAGGCAAAAAGCCTACAGCACCCGGTATTCCCAGGCGGTCTCCCATCCAAGTACTAACCAGGCCCGACCCTGCTTAGCTTCCGAGATCAGACGAGATCGGGCGCGTTCAGGGTGGTATGGCCGTAGACGGAGGCGGCTGCCTCCAGGCGCCCTAAGAGCCCTGCGCCGCGCCTCCCTTTCGCTGTCACCTGCCTGCCGGTCCGGCCAGCCGGCCGCACCTCTCCACGGCCCGCGCGCTCTACCTGAGCCGGACGACCCGCGACCGGACTCCGGCCGGCCGACGCCGCCCCGGCCCCGCACACCATCACCCCCTGCCAGCACCCGCCTCGCCTGGCCCTCCGGCTCCCGGGACCCCCCAGGGCCAGGTTGCCCCGGAGGTCTCTGGCTTCCGGGCCCGCCGCTGCCCGCCGCCCGCGGGCCTCTGAGCCACCTGCGGGCCTCTGAGCCTCCTCTGGGCCTCCTGCGCAGCCCAGCCGGGGCCCTGAGCGCCCATCCTGCCCGGGCACCTGCCCGGTGCCCAAACCCAGCGGGAGCCAGCAGCGCGGTCGACGGGAGCGCGTCAGCCCCGCCCCTTCGCCCTATCGAGGCCCCACTTGCCCCCACGCCGCCCGCCCAGCACAGGACCTTCCTGAGAGAGCAGACGGGCGACAGGCAGGCACACGGACAGACACACAGACACTCGCACGCACCCACGCCAAGTCAGACAAGCCGGCCGGCGCAAGCTCGTCAGCCAGAGCCAGAGCCCCAGCAACCTGTGAGAGGCCGGGGCCAGAGGAAGGGACGGGAGGCCGGGTGTCGGGAGACACAGAGGCAGAAACAGACGGAGGTTCAGAGACACACTCGAAGAAGACGGCGAGAGGGAGATGCAGGTGGACAGACAGACGGGCGTGCGCGCGCAGACACACACACACACACACACACACACACACACACACACAGAGAGGGAGACACAGCGACTGACGGACAGAAAACGGGAGGCGGACACGGGACAGAGGATGGCATCCGATCCGAGACAGACACAGTGGCACAGTCCCTGACCCACCTCAGAGAGAGGCCAGGCGGAAGAAGCAGCTTCCCCAAGGGAGGGGGCGTCAGCCTTGGGCCCGGGCCCCAGCTGGACGCGGCGCCCTGGGGCTGGCAGAGCCCCGTGGGGTCCCCAAGACCGTCTTGGCAGCTGAGGTCTCAAAGGTCCCCTTCGGCTTGGCTACCTAAGGCAAGACCCAGCCCCCGCCCAAAGGCCAGAGGGTGAGTGTGTGATAGTGTGTGTGTGTGTGTGTGTGTGTGTGTGAGTGTGTCAGTGGGCAAGGGTGTGGGCGGGCCGACTGGGGTCCGGGGGGGATACCCAGAATGGAGCGGGAAGGGTTTGGAGCTGGGGGGTTGCATATCATGTGGGGTCCAAGCATACCGGACGGTCATCTCGTCTCGTGCAATCCGAATGCGGACTGGCCCTCCGGCCTCTTGGAGGCAACCCAGGTCTGCGTTGGGAGTCGGGGCCCCGGTCATCCTCCCGCAGAGGGGCTGTGGCCGTGGCGATCCAAAAGCGGGCACGCTGCTACCCGCCATGCCCGCTGACTGGCTGGCCAAAGGCCCTGTTGGCTGGAAGATAGGCTACGGCTTGAGGGCGTTCGGGTCATATCTGTTTTTATTCCAATGGTGTGCCTCATCCTAATGTTACTTGGTTGATGATAGGAGAATCTCTGAGTGACAATAGTTCCTTGCTTTTCAATGGATCCCTTTTGTTGCAGAACCTTTCCCTTGAAAGGGAAGGAACCTATGTCTGCACAGGCACTAATGCTCTTGGAAAGGCAATAGCAATTCCGTCCTCCACTAGCTTGGTAAGCACCAAGTCCTTGTTGTCTTCAAGTGCTTCCTATAATACGTGCAAAGTAGGACCCGGTTTTGTGGATTCTGGAGTCAAGGAGTTAACAAGTGGACGTTATATGGTTTTAACCATTGCTGTCACTGCCCACTTACAAACTGCCTCGAAATTTAACCCTCTGCCTTACCTGCTCGTCTCTCAGAAGGCTGTGACTGCCTTGCTGCTGCTTCTCTGCCTAAGAACCCACAATGAGATATTAACTTGCTGCCCAGAATCAAGATGCTTCATACTCTGCCTCTGTGTGCATGCTTGTGTGCCACGTTGCTTCGGTCCTGTCTGACTGTTTGTGACCCCATGGGCTGTAGCCTGCCAGGCTCCTCTTACTGTAGGATCCTCCAGGCAAGCATACTGAAGTAGGTTGTCATGTCGTCCTCCAGGGGATCTTCCCAAGCCAGGTATCAAACCCACATCTCCTTCATCCCCTGCATTGGCAGACAGGTTCTTTACTGCTAGCACCACCTGGGAAGCCCATTCTGGCTCTACATCTCCTTAATTTATAACTAAACTCTGTTCTAGGCAACGCAGTTTCCCGCACTGTGATCCAACACCACACACACGCACAGAGACAGAGAGAGGGAGACACAGCGACTGAGGGACAGAAAATGGGAGGCAGACACGGGCGAGAGGATGGCATCCGATCCGAGACAGACACAGTGGCACAGTCCCTGACCCACCTCAGAGAGAGGCCAGGCGGAAGAAGCAGCTTCCCCAAGGGAGGGGGCGTCAGCCTTGGGCCCGGGCCCCAGCTGGACGCGGCGCCCTGGGGCTGGCAGAGCCCCGTGGGGTCCCCAAGACCGTCTTGGCAGCCGAGGTCTCAAAGGTCCGGGGGGATACCCAGAATGGAGGGCCGAGGGTGTGGAGGCCGTGGGTTGGGAAGCCTGTGTGGTCCTCTTGCTGTTTCTCTCTCCCTCCTTCTCCATCTCCCTCCCCTGTGGTTTCTGGCTCCTGACCTGTCTCGGCGGCGGGGTGGGTGTGTGGGTGTGTGTCTGTGTGTGTGAGCCCGCGGGAGAGCACGCGCTGTCGCGTGAGAGGATGGCACTAGGGTTGCGGGTGGGGCTGGGGCGTGGGGCAGCCCCAGACGGAGACCGGAAGGTCATCTGGTTCTTTGGAAGCCGAAAGCGGAGGGGCTCTCGGGCCGCGCGGAGGCAGCCCAGGTCTGCGGCGGGCGGGCGTTTGCGTGTCCCTCCCGCCCCATCCCCAACCCCACCCCCCACCCCCGCCCCGGGGGCCCTGGGGCCGCGGGGATCCAAGGGTTGGGACGCCTCTGCCGCCTGCGAGGGCCGCGGGCTGGAAGGCAGGCGACCGAAGGCTGTGAGCTCGGTGGGGTGAGAGGGGCCAGGGGCAGGTGGCGCTTGTGGTGCAGGCCACGCCGGGGGTGGGGGTAGGGGTGAGGGTGGGGAGGGGGCGGGGGCTAAAGGAGAGGGGAGGCAAAAAGCCTACAGCACCCGGTATTCCCAGGCGGTCTCCCATCCAAGTACTAACCAGGCCCGACCCTGCTTAGCTTCCGAGATCAGACGAGATCGGGCGCGTTCAGGGTGGTATGGCCGTAGACGGAGGCGGCTGCCTCCAGGCGCCCTAAGAGCCCTGCGCCGCGCCTCCCTTTCGCTGTCACCTGCCTGCCGGTCCGGCCAGCCGGCCGCACCTCTCCACGGCCCGCGCGCTCTACCTGAGCCGGACGACCCGCGACCGGACTCCGGCCGGCCGACGCCGCCCCGGCCCCGCACACCATCACCCCCTGCCAGCACCCGCCTCGCCTGGCCCTCCGGCTCCCGGGACCCCCCAGGGCCAGGTTGCCCCGGAGGTCTCTGGCTTCCGGGCCCGCCGCTGCCCGCCGCCCGCGGGCCTCTGAGCCACCTGCGGGCCTCTGAGCCTCCTCTGGGCCTCCTGCGCAGCCCAGCCGGGGCCCTGAGCGCCCATCCTGCCCGGGCACCTGCCCGGTGCCCAAACCCAGCGGGAGCCAGCAGCGCGGTCGACGGGAGCGCGTCAGCCCCGCCCCTTCGCCCTATCGAGGCCCCACTTGCCCCCACGCCGCCCGCCCAGCACAGGACCTTCCTGAGAGAGCAGACGGGCGACAGGCAGGCACACGGACAGACACACAGACACTCGCACGCACCCACGCCAAGTCAGACAAGCCGGCCGGCGCAAGCTCGTCAGCCAGAGCCAGAGCCCCAGCAACCTGTGAGAGGCCGGGGCCAGAGGAAGGGACGGGAGGCCGGGTGTCGGGAGACACAGAGGCAGAAACAGACGGAGGTTCAGAGACACACTCGAAGAAGACGGCGAGAGGGAGATGCAGGTGGACAGACAGACGGGCGTGCGCGCGCAGACACACACACACACACACACACACACACACACACACACAGAGAGGGAGACACAGCGACTGACGGACAGAAAACGGGAGGCGGACACGGGACAGAGGATGGCATCCGATCCGAGACAGACACAGTGGCACAGTCCCTGACCCACCTCAGAGAGAGGCCAGGCGGAAGAAGCAGCTTCCCCAAGGGAGGGGGCGTCAGCCTTGGGCCCGGGCCCCAGCTGGACGCGGCGCCCTGGGGCTGGCAGAGCCCCGTGGGGTCCCCAAGACCGTCTTGGCAGCCGAGGTCTCAAAGGTCCCCTTCGGCTTGGCTACCTAAGGCAAGACCCAGCCCCCGCCCAAAGGCCAGAGGGTGAGTGTGTGATAGTGTGTGTGTGTGTGTGTGTGTGTGTGTGAGTGTGTCAGTGGGCAAGGGTGTGGGCGGGCCGACTGGGGTCCGGGGGGGATACCCAGAATGGAGCGGGAAGGGTTTGGAGCTGGGGGGTTGCATATCATGTGGGGTCCAAGCATACCGGACGGTCATCTCGTCTCGTGCAATCCGAATGCGGACTGGCCCTCCGGCCTCTTGGAGGCAACCCAGGTCTGCGTTGGGAGTCGGGGCCCCGGTCATCCTCCCGCAGAGGGGCTGTGGCCGTGGCGATCCAAAAGCGGGCACGCTGCTACCCGCCATGCCCGCTGACTGGCTGGCCAAAGGCCCTGTTGGCTGGAAGATAGGCTACGGCTTGAGGGCGTTCGGGTCATATCTGTTTTTATTCCAATGGTGTGCCTCATCCTAATGTTACTTGGTTGATGATAGGAGAATCTCTGAGTGACAATAGTTCCTTGCTTTTCAATGGATCCCTTTTGTTGCAGAACCTTTCCCTTGAAAGGGAAGGAACCTATGTCTGCACAGGCACTAATGCTCTTGGAAAGGCAATAGCAATTCCGTCCTCCACTAGCTTGGTAAGCACCAAGTCCTTGTTGTCTTCAAGTGCTTCCTATAATACGTGCAAAGTAGGACCCGGTTTTGTGGATTCTGGAGTCAAGGAGTTAACAAGTGGACGTTATATGGTTTTAACCATTGCTGTCACTGCCCACTTACAAACTGCCTCGAAATTTAACCCTCTGCCTTACCTGCTCGTCTCTCAGAAGGCTGTGACTGCCTTGCTGCTGCTTCTCTGCCTAAGAACCCACAATGAGATATTAACTTGCTGCCCAGAATCAAGATCCTTCATACTCTGCCTCTGTGTGCATGCTTGTGTGCCACGTTGCTTCGGTCCTGTCTGACTGTTTGTGACCCCATGGGCTGTAGCCCGCCAGGCTCCTCTTACTGTAGGATCCTCCAGGCAAGCATACTGAAGTAGGTTGTCATGTCGTCCTCCAGGGGATCTTCCCAAGCCAGGTATCAAACCCACATCTCCTTCATCCCCTGCATTGGCAGACAGGTTCTTTACTGCTAGCACCACCTGGGAAGCCCATTCTGGCTCTACATCTCCTTAATTTATAACTAAACTCTGTTCTAGGCAACGCAGTTTCCCGCACTGTGATCCAACACCACACACACGCACAGAGACAGAGAGAGGGAGACACAGCGACTGAGGGACAGAAAATGGGAGGCAGACACGGGCGAGAGGATGGCATCCGATCCGAGACAGACACAGTGGCACAGTCCCTGACCCACCTCAGAGAGAGGCCAGGCGGAAGAAGCAGCTTCCCCAAGGGAGGGGGCGTCAGCCTTGGGCCCGGGCCCCAGCTGGACGCGGCGCCCTGGGGCTGGCAGAGCCCCGTGGGGTCCCCAAGACCGTCTTGGCAGCCGAGGTCTCAAAGGTCCGGGGGGATACCCAGAATGGAGGGCCGAGGGTGTGGAGGCCGTGGGTTGGGAAGCCTGTGTGGTCCTCTTGCTGTTTCTCTCTCCCTCCTTCTCCATCTCCCTCCCCTGTGGTTTCTGGCTCCTGACCTGTCTCGGCGGCGGGGTGGGTGTGTGGGTGTGTGTCTGTGTGTGTGAGCCCGCGGGAGAGCACGCGCTGTCGCGTGAGAGGATGGCACTAGGGTTGCGGGTGGGGCTGGGGCGTGGGGCAGCCCCAGACGGAGACCGGAAGGTCATCTGGTTCTTTGGAAGCCGAAAGCGGAGGGGCTCTCGGGCCGCGCGGAGGCAGCCCAGGTCTGCGGCGGGCGGGCGTTTGCGTGTCCCTCCCGCCCCATCCCCAACCCCACCCCCCACCCCCGCCCCGGGGGCCCTGGGGCCGCGGGGATCCAAGGGTTGGGACGCCTCTGCCGCCTGCGAGGGCCGCGGGCTGGAAGGCAGGCGACCGAAGGCTGTGAGCTCGGTGGGGTGAGAGGGGCCAGGGGCAGGTGGCGCTTGTGGTGCAGGCCACGCCGGGGGTGGGGGTAGGGGTGAGGGTGGGGAGGGGGCGGGGGCTAAAGGAGAGGGGAGGCAAAAAGCCTACAGCACCCGGTATTCCCAGGCGGTCTCCCATCCAAGTACTAACCAGGCCCGACCCTGCTTAGCTTCCGAGATCAGACGAGATCGGGCGCGTTCAGGGTGGTATGGCCGTAGACGGAGGCGGCTGCCTCCAGGCGCCCTAAGAGCCCTGCGCCGCGCCTCCCTTTCGCTGTCACCTGCCTGCCGGTCCGGCCAGCCGGCCGCACCTCTCCACGGCCCGCGCGCTCTACCTGAGCCGGACGACCCGCGACCGGACTCCGGCCGGCCGACGCCGCCCCGGCCCCGCACACCATCACCCCCTGCCAGCACCCGCCTCGCCTGGCCCTCCGGCTCCCGGGACCCCCCAGGGCCAGGTTGCCCCGGAGGTCTCTGGCTTCCGGGCCCGCCGCTGCCCGCCGCCCGCGGGCCTCTGAGCCACCTGCGGGCCTCTGAGCCTCCTCTGGGCCTCCTGCGCAGCCCAGCCGGGGCCCTGAGCGCCCATCCTGCCCGGGCACCTGCCCGGTGCCCAAACCCAGCGGGAGCCAGCAGCGCGGTCGACGGGAGCGCGTCAGCCCCGCCCCTTCGCCCTATCGAGGCCCCACTTGCCCCCACGCCGCCCGCCCAGCACAGGACCTTCCTGAGAGAGCAGACGGGCGACAGGCAGGCACACGGACAGACACACAGACACTCGCACGCACCCACGCCAAGTCAGACAAGCCGGCCGGCGCAAGCTCGTCAGCCAGAGCCAGAGCCCCAGCAACCTGTGAGAGGCCGGGGCCAGAGGAAGGGACGGGAGGCCGGGTGTCGGGAGACACAGAGGCAGAAACAGACGGAGGTTCAGAGACACACTCGAAGAAGACGGCGAGAGGGAGATGCAGGTGGACAGACAGACGGGCGTGCGCGCGCAGACACACACACACACACACACACACACACACACACACACACAGAGGGAGACACAGCGACTGACGGACAGAAAACGGGAGGCGGACACGGGACAGAGGATGGCATCCGATCCGAGACAGACACAGTGGCACAGTCCCTGACCCACCTCAGAGAGAGGCCAGGCGGAAGAAGCAGCTTCCCCAAGGGAGGGGGCGTCAGCCTTGGGCCCGGGCCCCAGCTGGACGCGGCGCCCTGGGGCTGGCAGAGCCCCGTGGGGTCCCCAAGACCGTCTTGGCAGCCGAGGTCTCAAAGGTCCCCTTCGGCTTGGCTACCTAAGGCAAGACCCAGCCCCCGCCCAAAGGCCAGAGGGTGAGTGTGTGATAGTGTGTGTGTGTGTGTGTGTGTGTGTGTGAGTGTGTCAGTGGGCAAGGGTGTGGGCGGGCCGACTGGGGTCCGGGGGGGATACCCAGAATGGAGCGGGAAGGGTTTGGAGCTGGGGGGTTGCATATCATGTGGGGTCCAAGCATACCGGACGGTCATCTCGTCTCGTGCAATCCGAATGCGGACTGGCCCTCCGGCCTCTTGGAGGCAACCCAGGTCTGCGTTGGGAGTCGGGGCCCCGGTCATCCTCCCGCAGAGGGGCTGTGGCCGTGGCGATCCAAAAGCGGGCACGCTGCTACCCGCCATGCCCGCTGACTGGCTGGCCAAAGGCCCTGTTGGCTGGAAGATAGGCTACGGCTTGAGGGCGTTCGGGTCATATCTGTTTTTATTCCAATGGTGTGCCTCATCCTAATGTTACTTGGTTGATGATAGGAGAATCTCTGAGTGACAATAGTTCCTTGCTTTTCAATGGATCCCTTTTGTTGCAGAACCTTTCCCTTGAAAGGGAAGGAACCTATGTCTGCACAGGCACTAATGCTCTTGGAAAGGCAATAGCAATTCCGTCCTCCACTAGCTTGGTAAGCACCAAGTCCTTGTTGTCTTCAAGTGCTTCCTATAATACGTGCAAAGTAGGACCCGGTTTTGTGGATTCTGGAGTCAAGGAGTTAACAAGTGGACGTTATATGGTTTTAACCATTGCTGTCACTGCCCACTTACAAACTGCCTCGAAATTTAA